GCTCACTGCAACCTCCGCCTCCCAGGTTCAAGCAACTCTCATGCCTCAGCCTCCCAAGTATCTGGAACTACAGGCATGTGCCATCACACCCTGCTAATGTTTGCTTTTTTTGGTAGAGACGGGGTTTCACCATGTTGGCCAAGCTGGTCTCCAACTCCTGACCTCAAGTGATCCACCTGCCTCGGCCTCCCAAAGTGATGGAATTACAGGCATGGGCAACTGCACCTGGCCTAATTTTTTTAGTATTTTATTAATGCTGCAGTGAACTACCTTGGAGAAATATTTTCCCATACAACTCTGATTATGTCCTTAGGACAAATTCCTAGAATTACTGGATCAAAAGGATTTTGTATTTTTAGTGTTTAATAGCTATTGCCAAATTGTTCTTTAGAAAGGCAGACCCTGTTCAGCCCGGTGACTCATGCCTGTAATCCCAGCATTTTGGGGGGCTAAGGCAGGCAGATCAAGAAGTCAAGAGATCGAGACCATCCTGGCCAACATGGTGAAACCCTGTCTCTATTAAAAATACAAATAGTGCATGCCTGTAGTCCCAGCTACTCAGGAGGTTGAGGCAGGAGAATTGCTTGAACCCAGAGAGGCAGAGGTTGCAGTGGGCTGAGATTGCACCACTGCACTGCAGTCTGGAGACAGATGGAGAGCAAGACTCTGGCTCAGAAGGAAAAAAAAAAGAAAAAAAGAAAGGCAGACCCAATGTGCAATCCTAAGGTCCCTCCCTGTCTCCCTCCCTCCCTCCCTTCCTTCCTTCCTTCCATTCTTTTTCTTGAGACAGTCTCGCTATATTGCCTAAGTTGGCTTTGAACTCCCATCTCAGAGATCCTCTCTTCTCAGCCTCTCGAGTAGCTGGGACGCTAGGCGTGCGCCACCGTGCCTGGTGAACCTGTGAATTTCTGCTTTCCCACTCTGTCCCATTACGCCTCTTCTTCAGAGATGACTAATCATGAACTAATTGCGCCTCTCATCTCTTGCAATGGGAAATAAAGTCCCTTTCAACATATAAATCATTCAGTAGTATTCAAATGGCTTAATGCAAATGCAGTGGTTAAAAAAAAATTGCTCAGTGATAATTTGCATCCCAACCATCATCACCGTCTGCATTAGGAGAGTTTATAATCATTTTCCCCCAACCTTTGTGACTGAATCAATGTCCTGAGTATAGGACTGTAGACAGCAGCAAGGTAATTCTGGGTATGAACCTGTTGCTAGTGGGAGTGATGCGTTGGCTGCAGTGAAGGATGATGATGTGGCCGATCTGCTGCAATGACCCTGGCTTGTGACTGTAGGTGGTTATGTTGACACGGAGCCCATCACACCCAACTTCCCTTTGTATGGAAACTACCCCGCCTTCTGTGCTCTGCTTTAAGGAGCCACGGTCAGCTGTTTTCTGTCTAATTGGCCTGGGCTCATGACCTACCATGCAGTCAGACTCAAAACACAAGAGAATCAGACTTCTCTCAGAAATGTATTTATTTATTCATTTACTTCAGAGACAGAGTCTCGCTCTCTCAATCAGGCTAGAGTGGCATGGTCATGGCTCAATGAAGCCTCAACTTCCTGGGCTCAATTGGTCTTCCCACCTTAGCCTTTCGAGTAGCTGGGACTACAGGCATGCACCACCACGCCTGGCTAATTTTTGTATTTTTTGTAGAGACAGAGTTTGAACATGTTACCCAGGCTGGTCTTGAATTCCTGGCCTCAAGTGATCTGCCTGCCTCAGCCTCAGCCTCCCAAAGTGCTGGGATTAC